TTTTCGAGCATTTTTTCAACTTTGAACACGAATTACTTCCAATCGGCTATGTATTATAGTTATATAATCAAGTTGCTGCTGCTGTAAAAACAAAAGTCATCACTCGATTTGACGTTTATTTGAACGAATGATATTGTATTTGCTGGTGATCAAGTTGGTGCTGAACAGGTGACAGGAGAAACAAAAAGTGAGACGAGAATGTCGGTTGTGTTTTAATTGAACGTTGCTGCTGGTGAAAATGCATTAATTGAAATATCACCTGCAGATTGAAGAAATAATTAATCTGTTTCTCTTTTCTTAACGTGCAATTAAAGAAGAAGTGAACGGATGTCGATAAGGTAAAAATCTTATGTAAATTAATTAATTGATTTTGATGTAAGTTATAAACACTTATAAGTTAATGCTTTTTTTTATCAAATAATTAAGTTTTCACGCTTTTATAAAATTATATTAAAAAAAAAGAAAGAAGAAGAAGAAGTGGATGGATGTGGGAATGGTAGCGTATTTATTGCGGTTGTAACCATGGTTACATATTTGATTTGTACGTGTTTCGAGATATGGAAGTGCACGAAGGACGCTAGATCCTGTTTGTGCGTGAATGTGTTGAATGTAGAAAAGAGGAGAAATAGAATTAGCGATTTATGATGTGAAATTGTTTGTTCCGTTTAGGATTGCCACGGCGTGCCGAAGAGTCAAGGGAGTGCGCCCGTCCGTGATGAGGTTGATAACTACACGGTGATGAGAGGCATTCAGAACGACACACACACCGTCCTGGAATTCAGAAGGGCTTTGGACACCTGTGACCCCGACGACTACATCCTGAGCGTAAGCTAGACCCGATCCGACGAAGGTCGCAGCAACTGATTGTTTTTTTTTTTTGCTTCTTTTCCTTTTTTCGTTTCTTCTCCTGTTCTTCATCCACCGATGCAGAGCGATACGGTGCGAGTAATTTGGGCGATGCACGAGAAGGACCCTCATTATAACTTCGAGATGGTGTACCACGGCGCGAGCAGGGGTTCGCAGAGTCTGCATCTTCTGGCTCCGTCGGTGGTGCCCAAACCGGATCAGGCGGGTCACGTGAGGAATTGGGATGTCACGCTGAAGAACGTAAGTCGCTCTCTATCTCTCTCTCTGTGTCTCACACACACACACTCTCTCTTCATCTCGAAATGGTCGAGTTCTGCAATGTCGTGTCCGTTTTGCAGATGGAGGTGAAGCAGGACATGAACACGATGTACTGGTGCAAGATCTTTAAGGCTCCGACGCTCAACCAGAAGCACCACATCATCGGGTACGAGCCCATCATCGGCGCGAACCACAGCAGCTACGTGCACCACATGCTTCTGCACGAGTGCCCGGTGGATCCCAGAGAATTGCGCAAATGGGAGGCGTACAGCAGGGAGGACGGGAAAGCCTGCTACTCGCCGGAAATGCCCGTGGGATGGGAAAAGTGTCTGAGCACGGTCGTTGCCTGGGCCGTGGGATCAAAAGGTGAGGATTCGAAGACGAATTACGGTGCCCTCCGCTCGCGATAACAACAAAAAAAACCATAATCTGTGCAGGCCAGAAGAGCACGTTCATCTCTCAGCCCTCCACAAAGAACGGATGTCGTTTATGCTCAAGGTGTCTCTCATAAACTTGCGGAGTGAATGAAAAAAAAGGGACATTAGTGACACTAAGTGTGTTTCTTACCTTTTTTTTCTAATCCTCCAACGTTTAAAATATTTAAAAAAAACACCTCAGAAACATCTCCAATTACACTAATTACCATAATTTATTAGCATATTACAAATTTAACTTCTTGAATTACCAACGAACAACGCCATTCTAATTAGAATCATGTTACTAGCAACACCTTACCGTGTTACAAAGAGACGCGATAAACTTTTCATAATAATTAAATAATAGTAACTAACTGTGTGATTATTGTTTTAGGTGAAATCTATCCGGAACATGTCGGATTGCCGATTGCTGAGAAAAGGAACAGCTTTTATATGCTGCAGGTGCACTTTGATAATCCGTCGATGAAGAGGGCGGTGGATACCAGCGGGATTCGTCTGCTGTACACGAACAAACTGAGGCCGAACGAGGCAGGAATTCTGGTGACAGGGGTGGCTCTGTCGACGCTGCACGTGATTCCTCCGCAGCAGAAGGAGTACAGATCGGCCGGCTACTGCAGCTTCAATTGCACGAAAGTGGTGCTCCCTAAAACCGGGATAAACGTGGTTTCCGTGCTGATGCATTCGCATCTGGCCGGACGCAAAATGAAGCTGCGTCACGTCCGTGGCGAAAAGGAATTGCTGCCGATCGCCCAAGACAACCATTACGATTTTAACTTTCAGCAGTCCAGAAGGTTGTCGCACGGTGTTAACATCCTTCCTGGAGATAGTTTGATCACCGAATGCACGTACTCTACGATGGACAGGAACAAACCTACTCTCGGTGGATACTCAACTTCTGAGGAGATGTGCTTGGCTTTCATCCTGCATTATCCACGCACCGATTTGGCGGAATGCTTCTCGATGCCACCCATCAAGTACTTCTTTGAGAATTTGGGCGTCAAGGAGTTTTACGATAAGTCGTTTTCGGATATCGAGAGGATCGTTTTGGAAGGTGGATCTGATAACGCGGTAGTTCTTCCTACCACCAAAGCTCCTCTGTTCACTTACAAACCTGGCGATGAGCATTCGCCGGAAGCAAACGAGCAAGCTATTCTCGCCATCCAGAACGCCAAGGATTACACGATCGAAGGCGAAAGCTCCAACCTGAGCCTCCTCGAGAGGCTCATCATCAAGGAGCCGCAGGAGTTTAGAAACAAGAGTTTCATGGCGCACCTGCAGGACATTCCTTACAACGAAACCATCCTCACGCAAACCTTGGAGGAGTACTTCTACACCGGTTTACATCTGACATTCTGCCGAAGGAAGAACGATACTCTGGCCTTCGTAAGTGCAATAATTGTCTCTTAACTCCAACTCCACTCATATATTTTTTGTTTTTCACAGAAGCAGCAGGTCGAGAACTTTCCGAAATTCGTGAATTACTCGACGAACGAGACGGGGATCAGGTGCAGCTACAGGACGAGGCAATTACCGTCGGACGCGCCGAACTTGAGGCCGCATTTCACTAACCACCTGCTCCTGCCGTTGCTAATATCCCTCCTGATTTCTCGGTAAAAGAAAACCCCACCTTATTATTACTATTATTCCCTACATTATTATCTTCTTTTTTATTTTTATTCCTTCATAATTTATTATTTTGTTTAATTTATTTGTTTTATGAAATTTCTATACGTCCTCCTCTTTACATCATACACGTTTTCTCATGATTCCACTGCGAAAAGATGAAATTTCCACCACCTTCCGCGATTTGTACATACATAATCCTCGTCCTACTCTTAATATTATTATTTTTTTTTTTATATATTTTTGCAAAACCAAATAATTTAGTCGTGTAATGTTTTATATTATACTTAAAAGAAAAATCGATGCTGTGAATAACTTATAATTATTATACTATTATTAATTTACTTATTATTTTATATACTTGGTAAGTTTCTAGTTTGTAAAACTAAATCTCCTTTTTTTTTATATATATTTACATACATATTATTATTATACATAAATATGGAAATGTGCGAAAAGACTTTTGTTTATTTGCTACGATTAAACGATTATAAAAAAAACCCTTTTCTGCATTCGATTAAAATAATAATTACACCAATACTAACTTTATTCCAGATCATTTGCATTTCATCTGAAAGTCTATTTGAATAGGTACTCTTCAGGTACACTTTGTTCTCTTTTTATGCGGTAGATACGTTCCACAGGAATACGCACAAAAATAAATCGCACAAAAAAGGACTAGACACACGTATAAAAATAAAGGATACGTTCCATAATTTTTTAAAAACCGCATAAAACTAAACCAATGAGTTACAATATACCGAAAATCGCATAAAAAAGGGTTTATTAAATTTCAGAAAAATAATTCGTCTTACTATATATTCTTTCTGAAATGTTTATTCATAATTTTATAAAAACGTTAACAATCATAGACAAATTTATTAAATTTCAGAAAAATATAATCTTAACATATTCCTTCTAAATTTATACCAAAAAAATTTACAAAAAAAAATACGGAAAATGTTTATGAAACTTAATCTTTCTTCACATTTTTTTGCTTTACAATTATATGAGTTATATGAGAGTGTTCGGCATAATTTGCGAACTGTTTCGAAATCACTTTCATCACTAGAAGAGATAGTCAGCATATCAATGCCAATTTGTGTCAAAACGTGTCAAAATGGTCTAAAATAGTTATTTAAAAAAACTTCAAAACCGCATAAAAAGAGGACCGAGTGTATTTGAATTTCATTTTTCTTAAATAAATACTTTATTAAAGGTAATAATTAAAACATTGAACTTTTGTACATACAGTTAAATAAATAAATAAATAAATAAATATCTAAATTCAATAATGACTAGCAGAGCTATACATGACGTAATTAAATTGCAAATTAATAAGTTTAGAATTTGCACCTGAGCGTGGTTAATTTTGCTGTGTTTTCTGTTTCTGTCAAACTAGGCATGGTAATTGTTCGTAGTTTAAGCACATGCCGAGATTGTCTTCGGGTGAATCGTCTCTTGCTGATGGACCGAATTGAACGCCGATGGTGAAAGGAGTGACGGAACTCTCCACTCTGCACGGCGATTCTCCGTTCGGACATAGAGAGCTTCCGCAATGCGCGAGGCTGCAGAATCCTGTCCCGGAATCTACGGGCTACGAAGATTTTACTAAGGGATTTTCGTTTTGGTTCGAGCTTACCATCAAAAGGTCTTCGGAATCGCACGGCATCACGATTTTGTCCGTGCAGATTTCCATCATGCGACTTTGGATGTTGCTTGTAATTGATGGCATATCGATGTCCGCTCCGTCGCCGGAACCCACGTCCTGAAGATCTCCCATATCCGCTGCAGTTGATCCTGCTTGAGTTCCTGCTGAAGTTCCTCCAGACATGGTAGCAGCAGCAGCCATGGGATCATTAACAACTCCCATCTGATTCAAATTGATCGCAGACGTTCCATCGATCGGATTCGGACCTATCCTGAAGGAGTTATCGTCGCAAGGCTCGTACGCGATGGAACACATTCCAGTCTCCTGTCTCGTGCAGATGTTGTAATCCTGATTCGCCAGTCGTCTCCCGTTATCCGCAAAGTTCAGAGTCTGTATCCTACCTGCAAATTGAAGCAATTGCTAAAATGATGTGCGATGATGATGATGATTTCGTCACCTTTGGGTCCGGTGTGATACTGAAGACATCCGATCGGGGCGCGCTGCGCGAATGGAATCTGCGTGATCCTCACTTCCCACAGCCTACTCACCGACCTCTTTCCCAGCACCATGTTTATACTTATCGCCTCGTTCACGTTCTCCACATCGAAAAACACTGAACAACAACAGCAACAAGAAAAAGAGAAACACAATTAGTTTCAAATCATGATTGATATTTCTTCGTTGCAACTCACCGTGCTGACCGCTGTTTAAGCCGCACATGGTCAAAGCGGTAGCGTTTCCTCCGGCCATCACGAAAGTGTCTTCTTCGCAAACACCTGTCCTCCTGTTGGGTTGACCCTGATCACATTGCAGACGCTCGCATTTATAGATGTTCTGTTATAATAAGTGAATTGAATGTTGCTTACTAGATTGAAGTGGATGAAATCTAAACGAATCTGCGCGATTTCCGGGTCAATTTTCTTCACCTTCAACTCGCAGTTGGAGCTCATCGAGTGCGTCAAGTCGGGGAAATGCGGATTCACGAAGTACGTGAGATTATTGAAAACGTCCTGATTGCAAGTGGCTTTAACTGAAAAATCAACGAGAAGATGTTCAATCCTAAAGGTATCGAATCCATTTTTTTTGTTGTTTATATTTACAAACACAGCACACTCCGAATCCAAGAGCGCAAGAACCATGAGACGTTCCTCCTTGCATCCGACACTCGTAGGTGTTCATGCACACTCCTGTACGTCTTCCGTCGTTCGCTTTGCATTCCTCCTCCACCGGAATCGGAAAGAAGTTCAACACTTGAAGAAAATCGACAGTTTTAATAATTCAAATTATAGCACAAACCTTAAATTTACACACCTTTCGGAATTCTATTATTGTTGCTGCTGGTAATATTGTCGCTCCAAACGTCGAAATCTTCTTGTATGATTGGATTTGAACCAACTGCAATTACCATCACCGAAAGAACGAGCGTTGCTGTTGTTGGTAATTTCATTTTCGCTCCTGCTGCCGCATCTTCCGGGGGCCGACTGAGCCGGAATCGCAATAAACGCGCGCGCGGCTTCTTCGCGTTTCTTAAAGAAATGTGTGTCACGACGAGTTCATCATCATCGTCATTTAGTTAGGTCAGTTCGAAACTCTCCAAACATCTTAAGGTCAATGCCGATCTCCCACCTAGTCGCACGAACGACCTCAAACTCTCCAATTCGCACCTCGTCGCTGCTCTCAAAGATTACAAACAATAACAATGTTCTAAACTAAAACGAATTTTCAACGAATTACAACTATACCAGTATACACGTTTCTTAGAGTGAACATGTAAAGACACTTGTTCGTTAAACGAAAAGCTTGTTAAGACACAAGCTTTGAAAATGATGTAGTAGACGTACAATCCCGAACTTTTCCTCTTCACTCGTTATGCGAAACGCAGCTCGTTTCCTTTTGCTCGTTAAGCGAGGTTTATTGTCATTCATAAGAAAATTAATGATTTGTAAAGATTTTCTCCAAGGCTTATTAAAAAGTTTTTTTTTCAACTTTGTCAATAAAATACGACTAAATGATACAATAATACTAATTAACTTTAATTTCATTGAATACAATTGCATTTGTCGCTGATATAAGCAAAAAAAAAAAACTGAAGACACACACAACTTTTTCTGATCTTTGTGTGGGACGAGGAAGTAAATAAAAACAAAAACAACAAAAAAAATTATTAAGAGCGCCTCAATAAATAAAGTAGTTAATAAATAAAATTTACCGTAACTTTAGTGAAAACGCTGAACTAGTTTTCTAAACTGCAAATTACCGGTTCTTACCTTACGTATTTGCTTACCCATTAAATATCAAGAGCGCATCAAAAAAAACAAACAAAAATAATCGAATTGAACGTTTCCATGGAAATAATGGACGTATTAATTGTTTCAACTTACATTTGTTATTGGTTGCTAAGTAAATAAATAAATATATATAAAAAAAGATAATCGCTGGGTGGTGGGATTTAATTAATGTTTGTCGATTCGTTTCCAAATAATTTCATCTTTAATTCGTTTACATTCACAAAAAAAAAAATAAAATAAAAATAATAATAACTATAATAGTAGTAGTAGTAGTAGTAGTGATAACTAATTATTGACAATAAAATTAATAATAACAGAATAAAAAGGCAAGCACTAAAATATCCTTTAATTTACACAAACACAACGTCCTTTCACTCGCACGTTTTTTTTTTTTTTCACTTCCCACTTCAACTTCTTCTTCTTCCGTTTCAAGACAAATGAACATAAAATAAAGAAAAAAAAAAAATCTTTTAAGTACACAACAGCATATACATATAATATATATATAATGAAAAATAATAATAAACAATCAAAATAATAATTTCTCTCCACCTACGTTGTAGTAGTTAATAATAATAATTATTATATAATATTTCTTTCGCTCAAACTTAAAATGTAGCAACAATCTTTCAAGTTCATACTCCATACTAAATTCATATATATATAATAATAATAATCGATACTCGGGTGAACGTAAAATCGTAATTAGACATAAGTTAAATTAGAAACTAATTGTAATTATATAATAATAATAATAATTGAGGAACTATATATGCACTTAAAAACTGAATCTTTATCCAAACAATCGAAACGTCCTACAAACTATTTACATTAGTAGTAGTAGTTGTAATTATAATAATAATAATCTTAATATATATATTTTGCGAGATTATATATATATAATTTATATACATGAAATAGTTTTTTTTTTCCTTCTTTTTTTCATTGTATTTGTATATAGATTTTTATATATAATTTCTGTTTATTCCATTTTGTATACTCGATAAAACCAAACCTTTAGCACCGGTTCAACTAGTTTCGATAAATGCGATTAATTTTTGTTTTTGTTGTGTGTTTTGTTTTGTTTTGTTTCAGAAACCGTAATGACAACAATACATACTTATACATAAACAATTCCTCGCAATTAATGACTTTTTTCGCCAAACACACACTTTTTTTTCCTATATAAAAATGGGTACACGTTCAAACAACTTTAGTTTCCTAGACAACGTGTTAATTCTTTTCCGCGAAACAAAACAAAAGAAAAAAAAAACTAGAAAAGCAAGGACACGTTGATTGGAAATGGAAATCGAAAAAATGCTTAGCAACCGAATCGGATTGTAATCAAAAAAAAAATAATAATAATTAAATGTTAAATATTCTTGAAATTAAACTTAAGATGAATTGTTTTGGAATCGTGACTGCAAAGAACGACGAAATGAGGATGTAATCGTTTACATAAACAACAACAACAACAAAAATATATAAATATAATCACGGATTTAGAAATTGTGTGATTATATAAATTTATAAGAATAAGAAAATAAACAATAATCTTCGCATACTGCAAAAACAAATTGAAGAACGAAAAAAAAAAAAAACAAAGAAACTAATCGCACCTTTTGTTTTTTTCCCAATTGTTTTTCCTGTGCCCTCTTTTTTGTTTCTTCTTGCAGCGATTAATTAATTACATTAATAATAATAATAAATTCCGTTTACATAATTAAAGCTTAATATTTACAAAAAACAGTAGTTTTCGAGAAAATCGAATAGAAAAAGAAAATGCAATTAATTTCATTTTACATTTAATTAATTATTTTTTTGCTTTCATCTTTGGGGGGGGAGGGACGATGAAAAATAATTTCTTTTACTCGGAAAAGAAAATTATTTATAGTAGTAGTAGTAATTATAATAATAATAATAATAATAATAATAACAAAACAAACGAACAAATTGGTTATATATAAATATCATCATCGATTAAAACAAAAAAAAATTATAAAACTTTGCTCTCTGATATGTGTGTGTGTGTTTTGTTTTATTTTATGCCGATCAAAACAAAATATGTGCGTAATTAAAAATAAGTATATATATCTATGGATATAAAACAAAAGATTAATAATAAACGGTAAACAAATGCAGCAGGTTGAAATGCTTCGAATTAAACAAATCTTGCGATTTTTTGAGGGTTGATTTGTGTTTGTGTTTTTTTTTTAATAAGTAAATGTGGACGCGATTGAAATAAATAATAAATTCTAAAACATAATATGATGATGAAAATCGGTGCTAATCAATGTCGTTCTTGTTATTATTACGTTTTTCTTTTTTTTTTTGCTAGCTGACATTCCATAACCGCCTATCGTCTCTTTTAAGTATATTTTTTTTTGTTGTTTCCTTTACTTCTGATACTAATATAACAAATATATAATATATATATATATAAACAACAAGATTTACCTAGGTTTTACGATTCTTTCGTTTCAGTTTTTCTTCTTTGTGATTCTCTCCATTTCCATCTCTCTCTCTTTATCTCTTTCTCACTGTCGCGGATAGAGTGATTTGTATTCAATCCTCTCCTCTTTGCCTCCAGTTCGGGATTAACATACGCGCGAGATATGCGAAAAATAAATCAGTCTATACATTTTTGCTTTATGCGTGCGCGAGTGTTTTCTTCATCGTTTGCAATTCATCTAAATTTTCGCTCAGTGCTTGGCGTTCGCAAGGAGCTGGTTGTTCTTGTTGAACTCGATCTCGACGTAATCGAAGAGTTTCGTCGAGTCGGACTGCGTTTCCTGAGCTCCACCACTCGATTGGTCCTTCGGTTGCCTGGGACTCTTGCTCGAGTCGTCGTCGTTAATGGCAACTGGCGGCAGATCTAAACTGGCGTAGTGCAACTGCTGCTGGATTTTATCGCTGTTTACGGAAGATGGTCTTGAGCCGACGATAGTCGACACTTCGCTGCTCTCCGAGCTCGGCCTCGAAAGTTTATTGTTGTTGTTGTTGTTCAACAGCGCGGTATCGTTGTTGGGAAAAAGTCTCGAATCGAGAGCGTTCGACGTTGATGGTTCGAACTCGAAGTAATCGTCGTTGATGGGTTTGAAGCTAAGGTCGACTGTCAATTGGGTGCAGAGCATCGATGTGGACGCGCTCGGACTTTCGGATTTATCGAGAACGCCGGGTTTCATCACGGCGTAATCTCCGGCGGAATCAGCCGAAGATCTGCTCTTGGTTTTCGAGGAGGACGCACCCAGATCGCAGTTGACGTAATCGGAGGGTTGTTGATGCCCTGAAGATTTCCGCCTATCGAAATCCATGCTCGTGTAATCCGAGCGGAAACCGGTGGAGGATTGCGTGTATTTGGCTTTCAAAATAGCCGCAGGAATCTTGATGACGTTCCTGCTGCTGCTGCTGCTAATAGAGTTCACCGTTGTTGTCGCCGTCGTCGTTGCGGATGGCGACGTCGGACTGTTTAGACTAATAGGAAATATCGTTGAGGAACTGGAGGGTGTGGTAACACTCGAACTGGAACTGTCCCTGGAATCTCTTCGGCTGTTCTTGCGCGATCTTTGCCGCGCGAAGCTGAACGTGCTGCTGCTGTTGGAAGGCGGTAATATCTTCGGCGACACGGATATCGACTGCCGACTGAAGAATCCCGAAGGCTTCTGCGCTTGAGACACCGAATTCTGAATGGTAATCGGTTGCGAACGGCCAGTCTCCTTCGCTTTGCGATCTTTCTTCTTGCTTCCCAGCGACATGTTCGTGTAATCGCTGCACGAAGACGACGACAACAACTGCGGTTTATTGTTCCCCAGCGACATCTCGACGTAACCGTCGTTGTTGCTCGGCCTCGACATCGAGTAGTAAGAGTCCATGTTGTCGGCGGACGGGATGTTCGGGAAGTAACCGCTCAACGTCGATTTCACCGGCGAGGCTTGATAGGAATCCGCGAGCGCCGCATTCTTCGGTTGGAAACTCATGTCGCAGTACTCGCTTTGCGGTGTGTACTGGGACATCGGGGATGTGGAGGACAGAGACGAGATGGGCGAAACGGAGATCATCGGAGACGTCGAAGGTTTCACCTTCGAACTCCTTCTGTTGTCCATGTCCATGTAACCGGGTCGGGAAATCTCTGTTCTTTGGCTTTCGTTCGACGGTACGAAGGTGCTCTTCGCCGGGGACGATCCGGGTCTCATGTCGACGTACGGGCTCGTGTCCACGGGTTTCTCGATGTGTCCAGGCCGCATCACGACGTACCTAACATACAAATATTTTAAAAACTTTCTATGAAATTTCATTTTAATTTATTTGATTTTTCTTTTGTGAGCAGTTAAACGAATACGTGAACTCACCCCGCGCACGTTTTGATTCCAGGTCGCATGTCCATGTAACCGGAGTTCTTTGAGAAGTCCATCTCCATGAGGTCGTCCATCGGATCGACGGAGCTGTGCGAACTGTGCAGACGCGAGTTGGAGAGTAACGGAGCGCTCGAGGATTTGGCGCCGGTGTGCGGTTGTCCGCCGTGCGGTGGAAGCACCCGTCCGTGGAACTTCTTGCTTTTGGAGCCGACGCTCCAGGCTCGATCCCTGACCTGGTCCATCCTCGACTTGTACGGCCTCGATCCCATCGAGTACGTCCTCGGCCTCTCCGTGGAATTCGTCTCCTCCTCCTCGGAACGCGTCAGATAGGAGGCGACCTTTTCCAGCGGATACTCTGCGAAGCGCATATCTGCAATTAGCAAATTCAGCCCGAATTGTACAAAAAAAATGTCGTTAACGATATGCAATTTACCTGTTGACGGAGTGCCCGAGGTGACACTGCTCATGCTCGCAGCGGGAGACATCGCCGTGTGTTTCGCTTTCGGACTCATGTCCACGTATCCGTCGTCGGAACTGATGGGCGCCATCCTCAGGTAGCTGCAGGTTGTCGGGCTCGAGTGGACCATGCACGGACTGTCCGTGCAGTCGTCGCAGTTCTCTTCGGCGATGGCCTCGTCGGGGGTGAGCGACGTCGGGAATCGCCGGTGCAGATCGTCGTGCCACGGCTCGCTCTCGTCGATGCTGAGCGATGAACCCGCCGAATCGGTGGAGCATGCCGCGGACGGCGGACTCACCGGACTACCAGAAGGCGGTGAATGCGAAAAATCTCTGACGTGCATCGATTGTGGACGGTGGGGCATAAGGTAGCTGGCCATCTTCTCCCAAACAGGAGTACTACCGCTTGCACCACCACCACCACCAGAATGATGATGACCCTCACTGGTGGTGCGCGGGCGGCTCGGCATGCTGTCGCAACGAACTCGGCTATCATTGAAACCTAAACGAAGAAAAACCATTGTTAACGCAATTAGAAGAATCGGTGGATGCGCCGGGCACAACACGTCCTTAACGTGTTAACACGTTATGGGCGGCGCTTTTCGGGTTGTCTGCCCCCAGAAATTTTTTCGTGGACGCCTATGGACTGAGTGAAAAGTCAAATATCTTACGTCAATTATAAACGTTTATTTTTTTTATACATTTTTTTAATGATATTGAAGCAATTTATAACAATTGTGGGAAAAATATTGAAATTTTCATTCAATTCTATACTTGCTAGGAAAAGTGCTATAGGTTTTATAATAAGCAATAATAATAATTGATTATTGCAATTTCTATTCAAGTCGAATATATCATCATGTGCATATTCAAGCTCTAAGCTTTGTATTGTATTTGAATGAATTAGCAATGTTTTTTTTAGAAACAGAAATAATATCTGCTTCTGATAATCATATTGTATTTTCAATGCCTTTGCGCTTCGATTACTTAGGAGCTGAGAAGCGGCAAGTAGCATTGAATGAAAATTTCAAATATGTTTCACAAGTTAATTTGTATAAGATAACAAAGTAAAATGTACCTAAATTATGTCACAATATCACGTATTTTCTAAATTGCTTCAAGAATTATTAAAATATGTATAAGAAATGTATGCGTTGAAGCCGTTTTGCAAGTATTTCAGATTGCAATATTTACGTCATCGTTTTAAGTTATGATTTTGAGGTTAATTGACTAGTCAAAATAGAGTTAAGTCAACATGTTATAACTTTACTATAATTCTGGGCGTACATAGCAACAAAGCTATTATTTATAATTAATGACCCACCGGTGGGTCATGCCGTCGTCAATGTGTTAGATCAATCAATCAATCAATAAATAAATATAGAGCAGCGATTCTTAACCTTATTTATTCATATCTTTAGTCCAGCGGTCGGGGTAAAAATGATTTTTTTTTTGGGTAATAGGGAAATTTTTCTAATTTCATCTTACCAAACTCAGAGAGCGGTTCTCTGACTACTTTTCAGATCTTGATGTACAAACTGTGAATTGGGTTGTAGAT